TCTCGCTTTGTCGCCCAGGCTGGAGTGCAGTGGCGTGATCTCGGCTCACTGCAAGCTCCGCCTCCCGGGTTCACGCCATTCTCCTGCCTCAGCCTCCGAGTAGCTGGGATTACAGGCACCCGCCACCAAGCCCGGCTAATTTTTTGTATTTTAGTAGAGATAGGGTTTCACCGTGTTAGCCAGGATGGTCTCAATCTCCTGACCTCGTGATCCACTCGCCTCAGCCTCCCAAAGTGCTGGGATTACAGGTGTGAGCCACCGCGCCCGGCCCTAACTTCTTTCTTAAGAGTGTGTGCAGAGTAAGTCTCTCTCTGGAATATACATTTACTGGGAAGATTGGTAACTTCCCCTCCCCTCCTGGCTCATAATAGCTAAGTTCTGAATTGTATGAATCGAATCATTCCCAATCCATCCCCAGGGTAAAGAACAACTTTTAATCCTAATGTAGCACTAGATACATGATTCTGGAAGGACCTAGGTAGACAAGAAACAATTATAACTATTCTACATAATAATGGGAGAGCACTGATTTCAAAGGTAGATGGACTTCTTACTGGTGGAGAAATGGTTCACTTCTCTGTTTTGATTCTCAGCATCCATATTATTGACACCGGTCTCTACCACTAGATGCTGGGAGCACTGCATCCTCTAGTTTTGGCAACAAAAAATGTCTCTGGACGTCGTCATATGTCCCCTGAGAAGCAAGATTGCCCCAGGTTGAAAACAATTGACACAGACTATACTTCTCAGGGATGGATTGGGGGAGAGGGCACAAGGAGGAGTTGTAGAGTAATTGGTAAGAGGAATATCTTGTGGAGGGAAAGGAAGAGCCAGTCTGGAATTGGGGATATTGTCCAAAGATTTTCCTTCTCTCATGAAGGTCTAAGTCTTAAGGTACCACTCCTTTGGAAATTCAAGAGAAAGTTTAAGTGTACTAGAACATTAATCTTTCCCTTCATACACTGTAATTTTTAAAGAAATTCCCTTAATATTTTAATAAAAGTATTTGCATTTCTCTGAATAGCTAGCTTGAAGTCTTGAAGAGAGAGTCCAGTTCAAATATGAGAAAGGACTCATGGGTTCCACTAGGGTGTGAGGTACAACCCTAGAACAGTTGACTATGGTCAGGGGAGGCCATTCTTTCTATCATGTGAGTTTCTATTGCAGCCGTGTGGGTGAGAAGAGGAGAAACAGTTCCTAGAATAATTATAACGTTACCTTAAGATTTTGAGGGCTTACTATATCCTGGCACCGTGATTCTCAACTGTCTCATGAGGAAGGTACTGTTTTTAACTGCCAAATTTACAGAGTGACAACCAAGTCTCAGAGATATTAGATACTTTGTCCTGTTGCTTAAGAGGGGTAAGACTGGAGATCAGGCAACCAGGCATTACAGCACAGAATTTGTCTCCACTACACTAGACTCCTTTCCAGAAGACAGATGGGCGTAGTGGTAGGCAGAACATTGCATAAGTGTCCATTATACTCACAAACACCTGGTCCTATATTAGGAAAATAAGTTCAGTATTATTTAAAATACAATGATAAATTGCCCAGAGATCTGTCTAATCATTGAACGCTTGTTCTAAACTATTACGTTGTGTGCATGTATTAAGTATAATATCTTTGACTTAGGAAACCAAATACAAATATAGGTGTATGGTTAGATATACATGTCTTATATAAACTAGCATCTCTTAAAATTTTAATGGAAACTTTAATATGCTAATAACAAAAAGGAAAGAAAAAATCAGGAGAGAGAGGGTGAAGACAGAATGCTTTTGGCGCTTTTGTTGGTCTTCCATGGGTTTTTCTTTTTGCATCATCTTCTTTAGATATTTTTAAAAAAATCATATCATTTACATTCCAAGAACAAAATTTGATCTTATTCAACTGATTTTCAACTATGAGATTTTAAGATTCTTTACCAATTGGTATCCCCACTTCTAATACTTTCTTTATCTTCTGCCACATAAAAATTCTTGATATATTAAAGTGACGTTTATCTTCTGTGCGTTTCTAGCTGTAGACCCACTACACAGGCTATAGTCTAACCCAGAGCCCATTTCCCTACTCTCCTACTCTTGGCATTCTATCACTGATCATCTGCTTTCAAAATTTGACCTTAGACCCAAATCCATAAATCTTTGTTTGCTAGTGTCCTGATGAGAGGTTAAGTCATTTCCTGAGAGTTGAGATGGTGGTGGGGATCAAAGTGGAGCAGTGGGAATGGGATTGGAGCCCGGGAAAATGTGAAAATGTTGTCAAACAGTGGAAGTGAAAAACGCACTAGAGGAAATAAGAATAGGAGAGCAATTGAGGAGCACAAGGGCCAAGGACCAAGTAAAAGAAGAAAAAAAAATGCAGTGGGTCCAGTCATGGTTTCTGATTTTCTCCATTAGAATAAAAATAAGACATAATAAAAATATAATAAGAAGGAGTCAAGGGACGAAGGATTTTAAAGTGCTATAGGCAATTTGGAAATAGCTGATCGTGGCTGTAGAGCTTAGTAAGGAAGCAAATGAAGCTCTGAATGGGATAACGGAGAAATAGGATGTTGTATGGCCATAAAAGAGATGGAAAATCAGGATATTGAAGTCAGAAGGAGGGCATTTCAAGTATGAGATGTTGGAAGTGGAACAAAGTTATCTCCATATTACACCCCTGCGTGAATGGTGGGGAACCTTGTCTTTTAAAATAGGAGAAGGACTAGCTAAAAGTTATGGTTTAGGATGTTATATCACTTCCTAGTATTCAGCGTTGTTCTTGTCTTTTTTCCTCACAGGGTTTGATGAAAAGAATTATCCCTAATTGTTTAAGCATTCGAGGTTCTATTACCAGGCTCACCATTCATTTCTGTCTCGCACACTGAAAAATAAATATACAGTGTAATAATTGTATATGTTGAAGCTGAAATTCCAAGTTTAAATTTGTTTTTATACTGAAAGTGTTATCCTTGGCAATTTCCATAAAAATGTTGAGCCTCAGTTTCTTCCTCTGTAAAGAAGATATAGCATTAGCTTTTTTCACAGAAAAGTTTTGAAGATAAAATAACATTTGTGAAAAGCATATAGTATATTGTGAAGAATTATAATTGGCTTTATTTTAATGCCCTAAATTCTCTTTAAAATTGGCTTGGTAGATTTAACGGTGAAGGTCATTGCAAAGTTGTTTTAGTCATCTCTGCATCCTTCATGTCAAATGTACTGACTGAACCATGCTAAGTGGCAAATACTTTTTAAATGAGTGAATGGATTAATCAATGACATGAAGTTTACAACAAAACTATTTGATACAGAATTGAATATGGTCTCAAGGGAAGATTATCTTAGATCGAATCCACTGGACTTTAGTAATTTTTAAAGTACCAAAAAGATTTTTATTTTAAGATATACTGATCTTTAGTCATGAATCTGTTAGCGGAATGTTAGTAGAATGTCTCATAACATTTGAGTGTTATGAGAAAGTTCAAAATTCTTACATTAAAGGCCCTGAAAATAGTTTACTTACATTTTATATAACTTCATCTAGCTTCTTTTCCTTCTAAGTGATCATTCATTATTAGGTTCCAGTCTACTGACATCTCAATATCTGGGTGTTACTAAATTGACTGTAGCCATTCTTAATTTTTCTGACTACTTCACAGTGTCATTTTCTGTGAGTTACTTTAGCTTTGCTATTAACTAAGAATTTCAGGCTGTCAGTACAATTTTGCCCATTAAAGACAATAACCCCAG